AGACTTCAATATTTGCTTGTTCCTGAGACTTTTGAATTTCGGTCTGGATCAACGATTCAGTCGTCGAGAAAGTTCACGGGGAGAATATATATTCCCCGAAAGTGAAAATTTCGTGCAATCGTTGATCGTTAGAGATACTGTAAAGCGGTTGGCACTTTTTTATACACTTTGTACAAAATATTGGAGGACAAAACGAGAGAGAAAAAAAATAAGAACAATATTGCTATACACATCTTGAACAGATCTAATCAATTGAGACGAATCAATTCACAGATTTACAGTTTGTTAAACGTATCTATAAATATAGTCATACATGTATGTATCGTACATTATACTTTACGTTAAAAATCAAATTTGTTATCTTGAAAGATAGTAAAAATATTCAGAGCCGTCGCGGACAAAAGAGCCAATTACGAACATGTTCGAAGAAAGAGGTAGAGAGAAAACAAAAGAAAAAAGGTAGTTTGTCGAAAATACTCGCCGAGAAAAATAACATTCTTCATCGAACGGTGTCTCGAGCAGGAAGTCTGCTCGCCGCGAGAGGATCGTACCCTCCCGTTCGGCAAGTGTAAGTGCGAATAGCGTTCTCGGGTTATTTCTTGATCTATCGCTCTCTGGGTACATTAGCCAACGCGTGTTTTGAAACACTCGTCGGCCGTATTTGTGTTGGCATCGGCGGCGCGTTGTCTCTCTTTCATCTCGCCACGGTGCCAGGCTCCTCGACTCGCGTGAAACGCGTCACGAAACCGAGAAACAAAGTCGTTAGCGGTCTAATTGCGAGCCCTTTCCCTCCCAGGGCTATCTGTCCTTGATCTCGCGCGATTTTCTTTTCCCTTCGGACCGTGATCAAAGACCGTGGCCGCGTCACGTCGCCTCGCCAACATCCCTGTCAATCATCCGCGACGCCTCGCCAAAAGGGGTTGCAGGGGGTTAATTACCGTAGCTGATCCCCTGTAAATTCCTTCGAAATACGAAATTACACGAGACAGACATTCTCGGTTCTCGCAACACTCTGTCCACGAACAAATATTTAGGTACGATATTTAGAAGAGTGACAACATTAAATAGGAACGAGAATCTCAATTCTCGAGACTGAAAAATTTATTGTACTCTACGATGATGTTTGAACAGACAGGATAGATGAAAATCAAAAATAATATAAGAGGGTAAAGTATTATTGTATCGTGATTGTCGTAAGGTGTTGTGGTCGCAACAATGGAACAGAGTCAGTTCGTATGGTTCACTAAAATGAAACGAAATTGAAAGGACTACGATTCGATAAATAATCTTTTAAGGTGATTTGATAAATACAGAATTGAAAAGTCACCTAGAACACTGCACGTGCCGCTTAAGCGTACGTAAATACGATTTTCAGATAGTATACTCCGGAGCGTGTGTGCTTAGAAGTTGATTGCAGCTTTAGAGCGAATATTGTTGGATACGATCACAGCAGTCTGTGCAATTTATTAAATTACCACGTTGAATGTGCTTCTTAATTCCATCGGGTTTATTTCGCAAGAGGCTCCGGTGAAATATTTATTTTTCTGCGACTACCGCTCCGATTCCAGCGAAACGGGTGCGTAAGCGTTGAATTGATACTGATTCGTAACTGCATATTAAACTGGATCGTTATCTGGCACGTGATCGCTGATTTAGCAATCTTCGCCCTTTTATCTCGGTTATACGACAACGCTATCAATTTCTCATGATACCGTGGCTGATTTTTCCAAAATGTGAAAGCGCCATATCGACGCGGCAGCTCGAGGGCGTTTGAAAATTTGTGGTGCGATAATACATTTATTTATTGCTGTGTCGTCCACGGATAAAAAGCAAATGATCTTGAACGTCGCCGGCGAATTGTTTGCCTCCGCTTTGCGACAAATTTACGATCGGATCGCCGCAGACACGCAGCGTGTTTACTCCGATTTTCGTTAGAAAGTAATATCGGAACCGAGTCGATAATAACGAAAAAAACAAAATTCCATCGTCTCTTAAAGGCGCTAACAGTTGCCAAGTTACACGAGTAGAAGAAAACGTTTTTTAAACTCGGGAGATGATTCGCGGCAAATATTACTTTGGCTTCTCGCTGTGATAATAAACAAAGTTCGAGTCGAACAGATTCTTCTTTCTTTCTTTCTTTTTTTTTCTTTTTTTCTTTTTAATAACTGTACGTTTTGTCAGAGTCAGATCAAAGGAGTCTATTTCTCTTGGGGAGAGCCAGCACTTTAAACAATCGAGAAATGCTGAACTCGTATGTCCCCCGATATAAAATGACGACTCCGCGATATTTATAACGCGAGTACGTCAGTCGTCGCGGTAGAAAAAGAAAAAAAAAAAACATTTAGCTGTCCTCCGTTTCGATTTCTAAGAAACGTTGCGCCGCGAGAAGGACGCATCTCTCTTTCCCTCCACGTATTTCATAACCCTATATATAACGCATGTATATACACCTGTAAAATATAAAATCCACGAAACAGTGAAACAGAAAATCGGAGAAATTGTTCTAAACAAATGGACCGAAATGCACTCGGTAGTAAACAACGTAGCAGAATCTCGATCTATCAATTGATTCACCGGCTCGCCATAAACCCACCCTCTCGCTAGCGCGGGCCTGCAAACGATCGAAGATGTCGCGTTATTTACTCCTCGTTATCCGGCAGCCAGCCCGTCGTACCGTTCTGATTTCCACCCCTTAATCGGGGAATAATAAAAAGTCATCCCCGTCGGCGCGCGCGGATGGCTTCTCAATAAAGACATTGTCCGCGGAGCAAATTCTTATCCGTGAAAAGGCGTCGTTGCCCGCGCTAGCTGGTCTGGTGGCAAGGGGATGTTCCGGCCACCCCTGGAGAGAATCGGTGAAAAGGGGGAGAGCAGCAAAGGAGTGGCGCGGAGGGCGGGGGTTGGATTATCGGGCTTCGAGATTACAACTCGGGCTGAAGCGAACGATTTCCTTCGGAACGGGAATAGCAGCGGAGCAGCCGGTGCAAAGTGGCGCGAGTAGCTGGGGGTTGGAAGGGGGGAGGGGGGCCGCCGACGAGGCCTGGAGAAAAGGGGTGGCGGCATTATTGGCCCTAAGCAGGATACTTATTGAACTCTTAGCGGTGTTTTTATCACTCCTTTCCTGGTGTTGGCGTGAGTGTGCGCTCTTGCTTGCTCGCTCGCTCGCTCGCTCGCCTACCTTCTCACCGCTGGGAGAACCGGAGCTTTTAAGTGTTTTCGCCTTTGTTTAAAGGACTCGATTCTGCCGCCCTCGCGCCGCTCGCATTATGCACCCTCCTCGTGGCCCGCGAGAGGTTCTTACAAGACTCCGATCCGTAAACCGTCGCTCAAGGGTTTGACCACTTTGTGTCCTTCTTTTCTTTTTCTCTTTTCTCTTTTTTTCTCTTCATTCCCTTTCTCTTTTTCTCGAGGGTTGCAACAGCCGCGAAACTCGAGACCCCCCTTCCTGGCGGTGGAATTAGGCGCGGTTCGACTTTTTTCAGCTGCGGTGATCCGCGCCCAACGAGGCTTCGAAGCACGGGAAAAATATCGCGGGAAACGACGATACACGACGAGTGATGGTGAATCGGTGTTTCGAACAGATTGGAAAATAAATTTTCATCGTGCGTCGTGGAGTTTTATTCGTGTGTGTGTGTGTGTGTGAGAGAGAGAGAGAGAAATTATGGTTCAGTGAAATGATGCGAGAGAAGACTTCGTAGAAGGACACTTTGGAGAGTGTATAGTAATGGAATGTTATTTTAAGAGTTTACGAGGATTTTAACGCGACAGGATGCAGTTTAAGAGAGGTTTGCGTCGATGGTGTATTCTTTAATAAAATATCCTGGTATTGTGTATTACGCTTTAAAAAAGATACTCCTTTGTCTAACAAAGTACTTGTTGCTTACTTGATAACGGTACATTCTTTGTCCACAAATAAAATAAAATAAAATACTCGTACGTAAATTGAACGAAAACTCAAGAAGAATATTATTTATCGCGCACGAACGGAATTCTAATTCTTCAGTTATGTATCAATTGTTGCACTCTGCGTTTACATTCGCGCACAGTCGTTCAATTAACGTTCGATACAACCAGCCAGCGAAAACAAAGTAATTTATGCACGTTAAAGGTTCCCTCTGATCGTCGATTTGTCACGAATCCTGTGGTACAGAGCCGATGAAGAGAAAAGGAAGGAAAGGTAGCCGATTCATCATGGCTCTCTCGGTGCAACCGCGTAGCGTGTGTCAAACCGTCTTCGTCAAAATCCAAACGATTCCTCTTTCGGCCGACACTCTCCCCCCCGGCCGGATGAATATTCATCGATACACCGCGTTTCCTATTTATGATCTTCTTTCATTACCAATTCCGTCGGTTCGTCGACTGCCATTAGTCACACTTTGCCGTACCGAAAGCGTGATTCGAGGCGTTTATCGCGAATCGGGAAGGTGAAGTGCACTCGGGGGGTGAATTTCACCGCTGGTTGGTGCGCGCGTGCTTCGTGCGTACGATCCGCAGAGAAAACAGCGAAAGTGAGAGAGAGAAAGAAAGAAATACACACGCACACACACACACAGAGTTAGAGAGAGAAAGATAAGGGGAGAGTGATCGAGAGAAAGAGAAAGAGAGGAGCACGAACGAAAGGGTGAGGGCCACCACGTGCTCTATCGAGTACGTCAGTCATTCAGTTCAACGCGCACGCGGCGGAAAGCTCTGTGTGCAACAGTTCAACGAAATTACACAGTGTCGTGTCGGTGTGAGAAGCTCGATGCATTTCGTCCCGTGTGTACCGTTTCTTCTCTCTCTTTTTTTTTTCTTTTTTTTTTTTACAAACGAAAAAGCCAGCTGTGTTTAACCGTTAAAAACCGTTCGAACTCGAGATGCTCGCCGATCGTTTTCGACACTTGATCGACAATCGCCTGTTTCTGATCTAAATCGAGCGTTAATCGAGCCTCTTGAAAACACTGATCAAACTTTTTTTTTTTGCAATTTTTCAACACTGTTGCATCGAATTGTGGTTGGTTTTAGTCGTAGGTATCAATTCTGCGAATTTGGATTTGGAGAAAGGGGAGATTTTGGAAACGTGAAAATACGAGACTCTCTCTCACCTCTTTGTCCTTCGCTTGCAATTCCTGTTCCAGGTTGCTGTTCGGCGTCCTCCTGGGATTGCTGGCATCGTGTACCTGCTGCTGATCACTTCCCTGTGGAGTCTGAGACAATTTATGTCCCTCAGTCTTCGAATTCCCATCATTTGCCGCGGCAAGTTGCTCCTTCAATGCGGAAACTTCCTTTTCCGCCAGTGTCGCCCTCTGCAATCACATCGAGCAACAAATTAGAATCCTCGCTAAGCTACTTGCTAGATTATTTTCAACTTGCAAGATTTACAAGGTTATTCTCATTCTAACGCGCGATGTTTGCACTTTCATTTAAACGTGATTTATTTATTGATCCAAGTAGCAAAAGAGAAGTCAATTTTTTCATTTGATACTGATTTTATAATAACACGGAGAGACCTTTGCGTGTGTATAAGTGAATAAAAGTGCTTCTCTGTCATTTTTCCATCGGAACATATAAATTATGATACCTCGTCGCGATGTCAATTCGAGGAAATCAGTCGATGAAATGTGTATAGCATGTCTTGTTCGATTGCCTCGAATAATTTAAAGAGCACGGACATTATTCAATTTATTACTTGGCACCGTTTCGCCGCCAATTTTAGTTCTTTTTCGAATACGATCGCCTCATTACACACCGCTATTTAGACGTGCTAACAAGGTTAAATATTGAGGGAAACACGCCGAAACGGACTTCTGTCGATTAATCAAATTATCTATTCACGATGGGCTGAAAATTGCTGTCTAAATTTACTATTTCGCCGATTTCGCTAGAAATACGTGGCAAATAATTGATCGACGCGTGAACTATATCTATTTTATCGGCTAATGCATACCTGGCACCTCTTCGTAAGGGCGAATGTATAATTAAGCGAGTGTATAAAGAAGCAATGAAACTGAAAATTACGCCTGCTCGAAAATTATGCGCTTCGGCGGTAAATTAAAAACTGACACTACTAGTTGTTCATCAAAGCTTTATGGATATACAACGATACAATTCTGTACAAGTACGTATCTCTTCGCGTTATAAATATTGCTCAAAAGTGGAGCATCTTACAAGCTGTAAATGCCAATACTTTCAAATGCAATTACTTAATCAATTTATTTAAGAGAGTCGTCGTTTCTCTCGAAAACCAATGCTCCAAACTTTTCTCGTGGTTCTAACATTTATTTTATTTCGATGTTCTCTCGATACGAGGAGCAAAAGGGAACCACGGCGACGTTCAAAGATGATAAAAATCATCGCGGTACAGTAATGACGAACACATGCGTCCACCTCCTCCTCATTTCCCCCCTCCTGTTTCAGCGGTTTCGTCTATTCGGCCAATCTGTTTAGCAACGGCATATGCCAAAGACATTAATTGGCATCTGCAAGCAATTAAAGTAATTGCCAATTCGGCGGCAAAACATGGCGAACGCACGGCATCGGGCTAAACGGGCAACAAGTCCACGTCAGTTTTTGCTCGATGCATCGAAATATCGATCGATCGTTCCGCGAAACACCGACGCTAACTTCACTTCGATTTGAAATTGTACGGTAACACGGAATCGCGTACACGGCCACATTCTATAACGTGCTCGTTCACGAACCGCGCATACTATTTTCTATAATTCTCTTTGACCTCTCTCTCTCTCTCTCTCTCTCTCTCTCTCTCTTTCTCTCTCTGGTGTTCGATATTTTTCTCTTTCGGTAAGTTTCTGTTTTTACCTAGCCAACTGCATTATTCATACGTGTCGTCGATACGATTGACAAGTATCTCTCTCTCTCTCTCTCTCTCTCTCTTTCTCTTTCTTTCTCTCTTCTTTAACCAATTATATCGCGTTAATATTATCATCGCACGGAGTAACATTGTTATTTCACGTGTCCAACAGAAGTGACTAGAAAACCCGAATCGTCGGGGATACGGTAATTTACTTATATGGAAATCCACACGAAAAACTAAAAATATACTATGTACATACGTTACGTACTGTGTACGTTCGAAATTGTGACTCGCGACGGTCAATTTTAATTTATCCGATGGTATCTCGTAATCTATGTGCTTTGCTACGAGGAAACATCGAACACGAACGATCTCTTTCGAATGCAAAAATGGGTCTAGCTTCGCTAGCGATAGATAAGATATTCCAACACTTTGCCAGAGGGTCATAGATTATTCTCAGTTTCCAATTTTACCACGAATTACAAATAATTATACATTATTCCAGAACACCAGTTAGTCATCACGATCTCGTTCGACCCGATTTCTTATTAATCGCGTGGCGCAAATATTTGATACATTACATTCGACGAAATCGTTCGCAACTGATAGCTTTAAAATAAAACTCGAACTTAGCACGAGAAGGAACGGTTGTCGACTCTACGTTGAAAAAGGAAAAAAGAGAAAAACCCATTCGCTAATATACAGCAGTGTCAAAGTGGAATGCCAAGAAGCGACAAGAGCGAGAATTTCGAGCAATCGAAGCGTAAAGTATATATATCCACTCAAGTCATCACAGTGGTTCGACTGTTAGACTGGTTAGGGGAGGAGAGACACGACGGGTGACGAAGAAGGAAAGACAAAGTATACGAAGTGAAGCTATAGTAATGACCCATTGTTTCCTGCAAAAAGCCTTGACGATGTTATCGATAATTACGAAATGATACGGGAAGCATAAATACACATCCGAGCGAGCGCACGTTCATCGGAATATGGCGGACTCGAGAAGTATCGATAGGCTGTCGAGACTCATCCTGCGTCATTTGTCGCGTTTGGGAAAATGGAGGGGAGAGTACGTCAGCGTAGCTATATATGTAGTAATATACACACACACACACACACACACACACACACACACAACACACAAGGCTGATGGAGAGGATCGAGAAGATCGCCGATAAAGATCGTCCGTCCGCGATCGTCACATTAACGGCGGAAGTCGTTGAAAGATAATGGCTTCTTTGAACGTTCCTAACGACGTTGCTTTTGTCGTTGTTCTATCAACAATCGGCTGTTAAGAAATTGAAGTTACGGGATTACGGGAAACTCGGAGGCCGCTGGTCTCTTTCCGCTCATTCGATTTACATTGCCGAGATGCCTCCTCGAAAATTGATTCTTCGATGTCGCTGCCTCAACGATCGTTGATTTCTAATAGATTGCCTATTAAATATTGGCCCGTTGAGCGTCCCCATTGTCGCAGCCGATGCTGCAATCGACGTTCATCAGCGGGAAAATAAGAAGACGGCCGGAATCTGCCTTCTCTCGTTCTTGTTTCGAGGCATTACCGATTAATAACGATTAATCGTGGCTGGGGAAGAATGGCTACGAACAATTGGCTGGCCAATTGTTCCGATATTTGATAATAGGTGATAATTCCGTGGAGCTTTGTGGAAAAGACGAAGGGACATCGACGACCGACGACGTCAGAATTGAGCTGCTTTTTTACGAACACGCGGATTGCAAAAATACGTTTTCTTCATTTTTTCTTTTTCTCTTTTTTTTTTTTTGCATCTTTAATTTTCCAACGAACATTCTACCGATATATATATATATATATTTCGAAACGTTCGTTGTCGGAAGGGAACAGAGTCACGAAACGAAGCATCGAGAACGATCGAAACAACACGCGGATTAATCGACGCAACGGAATCAAACATCGAACATGGAGAAAAGCAACTCCATTTTCTGATGACTGCTGATTTGCATCGAAAAATGGGACGCGTTAACACATTTTACGAGAGGCTCTCGCCGATGGAGGTTACTTGACGAAGAAGATACGTAGGATTGATAGAGAGAGAGAGAGAGAGAGAGAGAGAGAGAGAGAGAGAGAGAGAGCAGCCTGTTCGACGCGATCGTCAGACAGCGCCTATTACGTACTCGCCTTTCGATCCTGACAGGGCGTGAGAGAGGGAGGAGGAGCGTTTCGATCACGACAAGGCGTTTCGTCTTGAGCCCGACGCTCGTCTTACACCCCCCTGGCAAATTGACGGTTATCCGACTTGCAGCGGCGTTCTGAGCATCGATCGATCGCCACTCACCGATTCGATATACGGAATCGCGGCTCATTGCACGGTTCGGCCGCGGTGTGTGCAAGAACCTGCTGCTCCGGGGCTGCTTTTAGGCCGGGTGGTCACGCACTTTCGGATCAACTGCGCCGTTCAGGGCATCGATCGGTTTCTGTCGTGTTAATGCTTGTTTCCACGTTTTCTGCGCCCCGGTTCAACGACTCCGCCGCATGTCCGTGTAATTAAGCAACCGTGTGCAATTCGTTGTCATTTCGTGCATCCTCGCGTCCGCCGCGCGGTATTTATAATTCAAATGTCCCGCCATTTTTGGCAAAGTTTTCCCCCTCGGAGTGGAAGGAAGCGTCGGTCGATCGCTGGCCGATTCGACGAACGCGCTCGATCAAACTCTGCCGCGTCGCTGGAAATATGTCGGATAGAATGGAAGTACAAGGGGATACAATTTGGAAACTAAGTTTCGTATAGAACTCGACTTTAATATACGTGAATTCCGGGGCTAAATACGTGAATATAAAAAGTAATCGTCAAATTTCAGTTACCATGAATTTTGTAAACGATTTGTACGAGCTTGAATTCGCGAGAATTAGCCAAGTAATCAGACGATTGGGAACGATACGTGGTATAGGATAGTCGGACGTACATAAGTAGTATAGGTCTCAAGGTAGTATTGCTTTCTGGTAGTTCTGCCTTCTATAGAAACGTAAAAAAATAGCTTCGAGCGTTGAAGTTGTTGCTTACGTTCCGTATAAAGACAAACATTTCAAATTTAAGTAGACAGAGAATGGATACGATTACTTGGTACACGTTGCAAAAGATTCGTTCGTTCCAACTTCAACTGGCATTTATTTTCTAAAATTCCCGTTTCGCAATTTCCCTGTCGTTCGTGCTATAACTACGCAATAAAATCGCCACGCTTTTTCGTTCAATGAAAATGGCCACCTCAGAGATTCTCACAGATGAGACTGACGCCTGCAGCGTCCGACTAGAAAAGTCAAAATCTACTTGAAAGCCAGACATCCTTGTCCGGCGCGTTCGTCGAGTCCGGCCAAACTGGCCTGGCAGAGTTAAGAACCGAGCGAGAATGGGCGATCGCGCGAACACGAGCACGCGTGCAATTTGGCATAGCCAGCATAGAAACGTGGTCGCGAAGGCGCGTACGACGGCATGTGAGTGTCGCAGCTGGCAACGCGCG